ATAGCCAAGAAAAATGTCCTTTGGGGAATAGAAATAAAACAAGGACGAGATGGACTGATACAGTCCAGGATAAGAGTATTTGGGGGCTCTCAGCATATTCTTTTGTGTACAAATACTTATCCCAGAGTTGAAGCATTTAAATGGCCATAATTACATGAAATTTCACTTGTAGACATGAAATGACTTTTCCAAGACTGACATGAGCAGCAGTGAAGGGTTTGGTGCCACCTGTGATCTTGCCCATGGCCCTCAGAGCTTGGTCCCCTCTCCCTCTAGAGGGAGGAAGACTTGGGTATTGGCTGCATGAGAGGAAGGCAGAGAGCTCCCCAGGGCTCCCCAGGGCCGCCCGGCAGCGCCCACGGGGCCTCGCGCTGCTCCTGGCCACACGAGGTGACGGCCTCCGCCAGGGCTTCCGCCAGGGCCTCCACAGGGGCCCCGCAGCACCGACCCACCAGCCTGCACAGCAGCCCCTTCCCACTGACCGTCCCAGCCATGGGTGTGCATCCAGCCCGAGTTCGAGCGGGGTACTCTGCATTTTGGTGAAGCTCAGTGTTTTACCTGCTGGCATTATGGAAAAGAGGTTGTTCTGCATCGAGTTTGGTCAGCTCTGATGGCCAGGAGGCTGTAAGAACCATAGGAATCCTAATTTCTATAACTTCTGTAATGTCTTTGCATGAATAAAAAGACGCTGGACCAAATGCTGCTGCTCTAGTTTAACTAGTCATTTCAAGGGGGAATAGGCCAATACCTGTTTCTGCAGGGAGTTAATCTAACCTTTAAAAGCTCCCAGTGCCTAAAGGAGGAAGGTTTATATAAACAATGCAAATATTGAGGCAGGGAGAAAAAGCCTTTCAGGACTGTAATCAAACGCTTCAGTTTAAAATCTTAGCGCTAATTTTAAAGTATTGTTGCTTTTGCACATCTAGTATCTGAAGTTGTTAAATAGGCATTGTCTGATCTGTAGCAGCTCTTTTTTTAAGAACTAGATAAAAGCAGATGGGCTTTGTGGTCATCACAATGAATTCTAGTAACAACCAGCCATTACTTGATCCTGAATCACAATATCAATGGCATTTTTGAGGGCTGTGTTTCAGACGCTCTGTCTGCATGTTTTTAATGAAGAAGCTATGTTTGTGCATTGCCAGGATGGCACCAGCAAGGGCAAGCAAGGGCACTCGTGGCTCCTGGCTATAGCTGCTGAGAACTTACCATGTTTACACAGAGAATTCCTGTGGGCTTTTTTATGCAGTTGGAGAGTTGAAGATCTCTGATCCTTACATTTTTTGATCAAATTTTCAATTCTTCTGTCAGTTCAGAAGCTCTGCCAAATGTCTGCCATGGCCCTTCTTCTCACATGTGTAATTACAGTACTGATCATTTTCTATATAAAAAGAGAAAAAGCGAGCTTGAACAAAAGCRGCATTAGTTTTCAGCTGCAGTTTCATGGCTGGTTGCTTTGCATGACAATCTACACAACATTTTTATCCTTTCTTACAAGCACTTATATGTGAGATTGGAGAGCACTTCTAAGAGGCTCTCCGATCTTACTAAAACTTGATTTAATAAAGTTGATTTGCATCTTTCATTTCAAATGAATAAGGGGGGAATCTGCAGGCTGTGATGATTTTTGTTCAGGACAGTAGTGATGCACTGTAGGAAGGCATGAGCTTAGGAAGCAATTCCTTGTTTACTGACACTAGATGATGTGTCTCTCCGTGTTCTGTGCTGGCTTAGTACTGACTGCCTCGCTGCGTCGGTGGCCAGGAAAAGGCACATAGTTCAGAGAAGGAAAATGACGGAGCCCGTCCACATAATCCTCTGTAGGCACGACATTTTCAGTGGGCATATTTTAAATAACATGAAAGGGGTGGAGAATTGGCTCATGATACAACGTGGAAAAAAACTCCTTTACAGAACCACAGCTCCTTTCATCCTAATTTGGTGATCAGAAACCAAGTGTTTCAGCAGGGAGTGTTATGACAAATGTGTTTCCCAAAAAATAACTATTGCTTGACTCCATGGCATTTAAAGTATACTGAGGATAATATTAAAATAGCAGTGTTCATAGAAAGATTTTGTAGAGTCACTATTTAGACAATCTTTTGCTGAAATAATGGAAATGTTTGCTCCAACTACATAATTTATGTTATTGAATAACGTTTATAATGACTTATGCTAATGAAGTCCTGTATCTTCTCCTTTTCTAGAGATATGCTGCATATATATGGTCTGATTTTGTGTAGTTTCAATGAAGTAAACCTAATGACACAGAATTAAAAGTACAAGATAAAAAAAACATAAACTATTTCTAACAGCACCCAAGCTCTCCTTTCTTTCCTGATTATCTGCTATGCTGTGAAGCTGTGGAAATGTGGAAGGGTCTGATCTGCCTCCCGTTGGCATCTGTGGCAAAGTCCCCGGTAACTTCAGTGGTTCGTGATCAAGGCTGAAATGAGGAATTCCGTGTTAACTATTTGTTATTTTAACTGTCCAAGTTAACTATTTGCTGCTGTTTACTCAGAATAGCAAATTACTTTTCATTTGTCTCTGTATTTTTGCATATCGTAATAACTGTATTGAATTATTTAGATTTAGATTGCTTAAAACTTTCATATTTCAATTCTTACATGTAACGAAGTAGCAAATACAAATAAAACAAGGAAGGCAGCAAAGCAGTGGCTGTCGGTGCGCGCTGTGGTGGGCCGCACGCTTGCTGGTTTGAGGAGCCTCCTGTGAGGCGTGTTTGCGGGGCAGGGGTTTCAGCTCTGGGTGCCCAGGAGGTCATGGCCATTCCTCGTGCTGGCAGGTCCATCTGCGCATGTCCCGGCTCCACGTGCCATGGGCGGGCGCTGCGGTAGCCTCGGCAGCGCTGTTGCTGTAAGACCGCGGCAGCGGGGCCATGGTTGGGTGCCCTGCATGGCGGCGGCCGTGGCCTGGGCCTGGGTCCCTTCTCCTTCCCCAAGAGCGCCGAGCTCCAGCGCGTTCTCTGGCGCCTTCGTGGCGCCTGTGACAGCTGGGCCGGTGCACCAAGGCTTTGCAAGGAACCCAAAGGTGCCTTTGGTGCTGGGGACGCTGTCGTGGCCGCGCTGGCCCGTCAGGGGAACGGCGCCCGTGCGCTGGCCACGGCTGTGGCCTCAGCACTGCGCTCATGCGCGTCCCGCGAGGGCCTTGCGCCTGCTCCGAGGTGGCCCGTCGGGTAACTTGTCTCTGTGAAGCTAAACAGAAACTGCTGGTTAATCGCTTAGGTGGTTTCACTTTTAAAACTTGTCAGAACAACTAAAATGTGGATCAAGAGCCTTTTTGTACATATGAGTAACAATTCAAAAATTCCAAACATGTGCATAGGAAGAATGTCCAGATCTTCAGTGCAAACTCGCCGTGCTTGGCTCCCTGTGTGTGCAGCACTCACCTGAGCGAGGAAAAGGATGATCGTATTTCCTTGCCTTTCGGTGCCCGTGAAATGTGGGAGTGGTAATGCTGAAAGAACTGAGATAACAAAAGTGAATATTAAAGTTGGCCATTTTGGTTTTCTAACGTGTTTTTGTTAAGAGCACTTCCTGCTCTTGCGCACTGCACATAATTGGCAGCCACAGTCTAAGGTTTCAGATTCGTAGTCAGAGTGAAGGACACGTTCAGACAAGCTATGGGTTGCCTAATACAACTGACTTCATAAATACTTTGACCTGTGCTTCACACTTTCCTAACAGGAATTTATGCTTTCATTTTCTAGAGATGAACCTTAGAGGAAAAAAATAATTATTGAAATTTTTATATTTTGCATAAATTTTAAAGGTTTGTAAAAATTGTTTTGAAGTGAAAAACCTGTTCCCATAAATCTTCATGGAGGCAGTGTTTAATTAACCACTAAAGCTTATGTTTAAAAACATTTTTCTTACTACTTTGGGAATAACTTTTTCTAATATAGGTTTCTATCCCAAAATTCATGCCCTTTGATGTAGAATTACAGCTTTCTTTCAGTTAGAATACCACAGAACAAAGCAATGGAGTTTCAAATAAAAATCTCATTTAAGCACAAACTGGACTTGGAGAGAGCATTGCCCTAATGCTATAACAGCATCTTTAATTCAGAGTGCCGCTCTGCACCTAATTTTAAAGAGAAAAATGAAAAAAAAAAAAACAAGAAAAATTTACAGTGAAGGGACAGTGAAAATATTTGATGCTGGGGAGAAGAAGAGGTAGGTGACTTCATTGCTAATGATAACATGAATGAAGAGCTCTAGGAGTGATGAAGAAGGGAAGTGATTTAGCTGCTCTACGCTTGACTTTACACAGGTGTAGAAGAGAAAGCGTGATCTTCCTTTGCAATTTGGAGAGTGTACATTGAGTGCAAAATACTAGAAACAGAAAATGGACATGGAGCAGTGCCACTGTTTTCCTTTCTTTAGAAAATACCTCTTGTTTTCATCCTGCTTGCGATTCCTGTTATTTTCACTGATGTTAGAGGTTGCCTTCAAAGAGTTTGGACACGGTAGTGCTGCAGCAGGTTGAAACCTGCTTGTTACCAGCTGGGTTGGAGACGTGAGGTGGCGGTGGCGGTAGTGGCAGTGCCCACATGGGTGGGAGAAGTGGGGAGTTTGAGTTCAGTAACAAATTTCCAGGCTCTGTTCTGCACCTTCTGGCAATGGGAGTGTTGCTGATCTTCTTGGAAAAGGCAAAGCCAGAGCGGCCCAATAAAACCAAGAAAAACACCTCTTTTGTCGAGACAGTCTGCCCCAGCCAAATGACTGTATTTTGCTGCATGAGGAGTGGGCATAAGCTTGACTGTATAGAGAAAGGCTGGTAAAATATGAGTAAACAGATTTCAATAATGAACTATGTGGATGATGAATGTGTAAAAGTAATCAGGAATAATGCATAAGGAGGTAAAATGGCAAGAGACAAAAGCACAGAAGGAAAGAAATTGTTAAAAGATGAAATCAGTGACAAGAAAATAGATTATTTTAAGTGGATTAGGGTTAGATGGGAGGTTATAAAATAAGAAAAACAACTGGGTCTTCTGTGGCCCTGTGCCTAGCCATGCATATACATATAGCTGGGTGTTTTCTGCTAATCTTGTGTTTTATCTTTCCTTTCTTAGTCATATAGAAAAAATTACAACATGGCAAGATCCTCGAAAAACTATGAACCAGCCGCTGAATCACATGAGCCACCATCCTGCAGCTACTTCCACACCGATGCCCCAGAGGTCCATGGCGATGTCCCAGCCAAACCTGGGTGAGTTCTGGATGACATCTCTCTGGTGAAAATACAAAAATAGAAGAGACACTTTTCATTAAATAAATGTATGTTGTTAGATTTGTTGGCAAAAGTAACTTTTGCTTCAGAAACAGTAGCTCTGATTCCGTTGTCAAGCCAAACAGCATGTTCTGCACTTCCTTTTTTTTTTTTTTTTTTTTTTTTTTTTTAATTTTGTCCCTCAGTAGAGTTGGCAGCAAGAGAACTGGCACTGTTTGAGGTAAAGTTCTCAAAATCTTATGCATTTTATTTAGGAGCGTCAGTGACAAATTTTTGCCATAGCATTGGATATAGAATAATAACCTCTTCCTGTGTGTTTCCATTCAGATTGGCTCTWAGGCTCCCTCAAGCCTCAATGCTTTTCTCAGCACTCACTATGCAAAGTGCTGCTCAGGGAATCTGTCTGCAGCCATTTCTGTATGTGTTTGGGTCAGAGGTGGAAGCTGTTCCTTTTTTTATTTTTTTTCATAATTAGTTTCTGCACTGTAAGCTACTCTATTTTAGCATAGACTTACTGTAGAAAAATCTATTTTATAGTATGAATTACCTGAAGAATTCCTCTAAATGGAATGATTTATTCAGTGTTCCTGTTCTGCACTTCATGCTTAGCTTTAAGCATCTACTAACATTCATGTGAATGTTAGTAGATAGGATAGGAGCCTTAGTGGGGGGGAAAAAAGAAAAAGAAGTCATAAGTAGAAGAAAACATTCTCATATACTCATATACAGTTGAAGGCAAATTTCTTTCACTTCTGCAGTTCAATTTCTAGCAGTTTTAATTTTTCTACATTTGAAGAAAATGATTCTCATCACATACCAAGAAAACCTCAGTAAACTTCTGTCTATCAGTGGTGAAAGTACCAGTGGTGCAGCCGTATGAAACAGCCAGTTAATTTTGTCTTGAGTTTACTGAACGCCCTGAGCATCCCCGGGGCGCAGCACGGCCCTTCCTCTCGCCTGGTCCCTGCCAGCGCCTTGCTCGAGGCTGCTGCCGGCTGCGCCCGAGGGCGCCCAGCGGGAGCAGGAGCCTCGTGCACAGGCGCTGCAGCAGGAGCCGCGCGGGCGCCCAGCGCTCGTGGTGCTTCGGGTGTCACCCGCTGTGCCAGGGCCAGCAAATGCTCTGCGCGTGCTGTGCACACCATGGCTGCGCTGGGGCGGCCTCCTTGTGGCAATGCTGAGGAAATATGGAGGTAAGGAATAGCAGTAGGATGCTTTCATCCAGTGCAATTAAAAAAAAAGAAAAACAGAGAAAATCCCAAAAATCTGGGTGGTATGTTTTTTCCCCACATTTGTGAGTGGAGGTGAATGAAAGCCCACTCCTATACTGAAATATTTGTACAGTGAAACTCAAAGGAGGTCTTTTTTGTTTCTTTGTTTTCACAATACAAAGGACTAGAAATGGAAACCAATAATACTCTTAGGGTTTCAGTTTGAGTCTCTTCTGGAAGGGACTTTGTGTGCTCAGAGGGACATTTCCACAGACTTCAAAATGTAGCACATCAAATACAGAATATATTTCATTAAGTACCTCTCATATTTATAGATGATGCACCATTTTTTTTTCCTTATATATTTACACAGCCCTTAGTGCAGTGGGATCTCACCTCCGACAGAATCTCCTAAACACTAATGTACTACAAGTGATACATAAAGATTTCCACTGTGTCCATGTTTACTTAATCAAGAACTACTTCATCAACATAGTTGAACATATTGGTAACTCCATGTGGTTTTATTGTCCTTCTGAAGGTATTCTGTGCTGTGACACTTCCTTGGCAAATCTGCTATCACAGTAGGGTTAGTGTTCAGCACTCTTTTATTAAATTCAGCATCACAGTTCCTCATTTTCCAGTCTATCTGAATGGCCATCCTGAATGGGAATATCATTTTATTACAAAAATGATGTATTTAATAATCATTTAATTAATTTAATAATTTAATAATTTAATAAATTATTATTTCATAATAAAAAATCATTTTATTATGAAAAAAAAAGGAATTTAATGTAGAAGGTKTTCATAGGTGAAGAAATTACAAGATGGTGGTAATCTGAGCAGGTTGCAGATGCCTGCGAACACTTCATGTGCCAGTTTAAACAACATGTGAGCACAGTAAGTTAGACTGGCTCTGTTCTTCAGCTGCCTTGGCCGAAAGGAGGGGCTGCACCGTCCCGGGCAGCCGTGACACTGCTGGCGCCGCGCCGGCCCCGCTGGCCCGGGAACCCCACGGGGCTGTGCCAGCGCCCTGCAGACGGCGCACGAGACGTGGAAGCGCATGGCTAGTTAAACCTTCCTTCTGGATGGCTCTGCTTCTTAACCTTTTAGCAAATGAAGACTATGGCTCTGGCTGTTGCCTTAGCATTTTTCAGTACTGTAAGAATTGGGGGGGGGGGGGGGGGTAAAGAGGTTTTCTTTTGAACACATGCCACCTACAAGAGAGGGATTTAAGTATTCCAGGTCTGAATTCTAGTCTGCATTTTCAATTACTAACACATGTGTTTTCCTTGCTATGCTTCTCATGGAGATGGAAAATACAGTCTGTTCTGTACAGCTTGTTGCTTTGGTTTATAACCTCCTTCCAGCCCTATTTGCTGTGAAGTGTGTAGGGCACTTACTGACACGCTATCAGAGGCAAATAGTGTGACTGAGTGATACCACATCCTAGAGTGCTGGTGCTTGAGATAGAAGCACACAGCAAAAATTCACTGAAATTCTTAGACATACCTTAAGAAATCTGCTCTCCTTTCATTATTTATTTGTTGACAAAAAAGTTAACACCTCTCCATTAGGAGCTTGCTCCTTCATCCAGATTTACCAGCAAACATGAGCCAGGTGATCAAGAGGCAGCTGGTTCTAGCAGTTAAATACACTGGCTCTAGGTGGTGCAAGAGGGGGTGTATTAAACAACAGAATTTGCCGTAAAGAGCACCTTACACTGACAGCTCTGTGTGCTGCAAAAAGTCATCTGTGAATCTGAAGTTTGGCCTTCAGCTATATTGCTCAGGGTAATTTAATTGGTTCTGGACATGACTTTGAGGTTACGACGCTTTGCACCTGCTTTCATTTTTTGAAACATCCAGGAAATCCAACCAATAAAAAGCTGCAGTAATCCTGTCTAAGAGCAATAAACACATGAACCAAAGTTTCCACATCCCGCCTGATAAAAGAGGTGTAGCTGCTATTGTTTGGAGATGATAAAATGTACTTTTGGTTGCAGTGTCAAAGTGAGTCCCTGAAGATAAGACCACACAAACTCCCAAGGTGTTTTAAAATAGGTAGTTTGTGTTTTCGCGATAACTAACATACATGGCATAGTCTAGGCTTTGCCTTGGCTGGGATTTTGGGTAGAAATACTTAATGCAGGGAGGGACACATTCTTCCCCATCTGTAACCCATCTCCATACACTACTCGCACAGTRGATAGGCTTCCCTTATAGGTCATTTTTAATTACTGGCTATCCTGAAAGGAGCTGACACCCCTCAGGTGTGGTCAGTGTGAATCATGTGGGACTTGTTTCTGGCTAATGAAGTAAGATTTATGGGAGAGCTGGACCCAGCAGAGGGTATCTGCCCATTCTGTGGACACAACTGCATGCTTTGACTCTTTGTCAACCATGTGTTTGGTTATTTGCGATTAGAGCCTTCAAGAAATAATTTATGAAGTAGATTTCAAAAGGACTAGGTTATTCATGTTTTAAGGGCAGTCAGTATCAGCTGTAGAGATTAACAGGAATTAACTTAAGTAGCAGTTTTTTTTAACTTAAATCCATGTCTCAAAGAACACCTTTAATCCAGCAATTTACTGTCTAGTAAATCTGAAATATTAAAGATTTATGTGTTCAAAAGAGATGCTGGTATTTTTGCCAAATCTGTTAATTTTTAATTGCAAAGAAGTTCTGTTGGTGTAAGCATTTCTCTGCTTGGTTAGCACTCGAAGCATGTGCAAGCCCGGGAGTGGAATGTCATCTGCATAGTTTCCAACTGAATGAAATGTAAAAGCTAAAGATTCCACAAAACAATTAAAAGTAAACAACATACAATTATTATTTTAAATAATAATGGTCATCAGTAATTGGTCATTAGCATGTAAGCTGCTGCTCCAGTCAGGCAGCTTCTACTGTTTCTTGTTCATTGTTATTAATTCAGGTATTTTTTAAAAGGAAGAAATCTACATGTCTACAGAGTAAATCTCTAATCTTTTAAACAATTTTCTGCTAATTCATAGCAGCTAACTCATTTGATGCTGCACCTGCAGGATTTTTTTTTAGGCTTGAAGCATTAAAGACAGGAAACTTAAGTTTTATGATATGCACATTTAACTAAGCAGTTGAAACTGTTGAGAAATTTCTGTATAGCTATTTTCAGCCCAGAAATCTGAATAAAGGACTCTCTGTACACTGGGATAGTGCAACTTTCTGGTTTAATACTTTACAGATTTTTGGAACAAAATGCACCCAAACTGAAAAGCAGCATTTTTTGCTGACCTTGTTGGAAGGCTAATGCTGTTTCTGGGAAATAAGTGAAACAAGAAGTTCTTTGTTGGCAGAAGCAGAGAGGGAGAAGGAGGGGAGCGTAGTCTTTTTCTCTTCACAATGTCGTGACTAAGTCAAAACTGTAGTATGTGTAATATGCCTTTTTTTTTTCTCCCCCCCCTTTTTTTTCCTTTAAACCTCCATAGACATGTGTTTTTCATCAGACTGTGCTGCGTGACACCTGATGCTGGCCAGTTCCTATGAATTAGGCACTGCACTGCCTATAGACAGAGTGGAGAAAAGATCCACAGCTGCATCCAGACACTTCTGACACTAAAATAATAAAAGCTGGTACAATCAATTCATCACATAAGTCAGAAACAATTTACACCTGCATGTTTTGGCTTCTGCAGTTTGCAGATCCTCTTGCCCACAGATTTATCCTTGCTTAGTGTAAGTACATATCCAGCAATGTAATCAACAGAAAGGTCTCCTACAATGCTAGAAAACCTAATTCATTAGAATATTATAACTTAAAAAGCAAAGAAAAGCATCAAAAATATTCATTGTCTGTCTTAACTGCTAAAATAAATTTACACAGCCCCACTTGAGAGATGAGCTACATGGTGGTAGGTGCATTTCAAGGACTGTAAAACTCCAAGGAGACTGGCTGTATGCTCTAGGTTCTGGTCATAGCTCCACATCTTTATTCACTTTCAACTGACTTGAAAAATGGTATAACAGCTGTGGCTGTTAACAGCAGTGGCTGCCTTCATTTTGCAAAACGGATTTGTTTCCTGCAAGGGAACTGAATTACAGATGCCACCTAGAGTTCCCTCAGCTGGGTGGCTGAATACTTTTCAGTTGTGAAGTCCCATGTGAATCTCCTTTACAGCAGTGACTTGGAGCTTTTGGAGTTTTCCATTGATTGCAGAACCTTGGAACTGCCCCAGGGGGAGTGCTAAACCCTGTCTGGTGAGTTGGGGCCTACTGAGGGAAGGTCGGGCCTTTTCTTAATTCCTCCTTTCAGCCCCTCGGAAGCAGTCCTCGGTCTTCAAGTTCACCCCCAAAACAGGCTGAAAAGAATTGTTAAATCATCGCCAGTTTGCTGGGTGTCACTGAACTCAGGCTGGCTTCATATTGGCTAGTCTAGCTGGAATGCAAACAGCAGGGTTTTTTTACTTGAATTTATTAATGTTTATTATCTGTGTTTGAATTCTGAATTATATTTGAATGCTGTGAGGAGCGTAACAGAATTCGGGTTAGAAAAGACAATAGCTGCCTGTAGGGTGGTTTCTTAAGGAGCAGACCTTGCAGACCGTCACTGCTCCGCAGCACTGGCCGCCGGAGCTGCCGTGGAACTTTCCTAGGACCTCTCTGGCTCCTGAGCTGTTCAGCCAGGGTGGGATCAGCCGGGTGCCCGAAGCGCCCCCGGGGACGCGCTCAGCCCTGGGTCTCAGTTGGGAATGGGCACTGGGAGTCACTAACACTGTGGGGGAGTTCCACGGTAAGTGAGTGCAGTAGCAAGCCCAGTTAGGTAGAAGGCTTCTCAAAATAACCTTACATCTGTAGTGCAGGGATAGCTTTGCATTATTGGGATTCTTTTCATTCCACATAGTCTATTTATAAAGATGCACTTTTAACTTGAAATCTAGCCTATATCAGCCGTATCGAACACACTTAAAGGTGTTCCAGGCAGGCTGCTTCCTTCTCTCTGCATGTTTTTATAGCCCTACTTTTAGGAAAAGCCATCTACCTTCTATTCCCCAAATAGTTTTCTTTCCTGCTGTTTGAAGAACTCACACTGAAAAAGGGAAAAGCAGTGATAACTCTTGGTCCTGTAAAAACTTTACAATATATACCCTTCCACACACACACAGTGCATGAAGAGCAGGCAGAGGGGAGCGAGGGGAGAGAAAAAGGAGGGAGAAAATTTTAGTTTGGCTTTGTCTGCAACATCATCCCATTGACCTGGAGTACATCATCTGTTCCAGGTTTCCCTTAGCACTGCAAGAAACCTGGAAAGATCATTCATCGCTGGTAGATGTTCTTCACATTTTTTGACCTGTACATTTCTTTAGGTCTTCCAATTTTCTGAGGTTAGGTCAGAATTTCTCAGAAACCAGCTGTAGAAAACTTCTGCTTTCAGTGGCTGTTGATGTAGAAAACTTTTGTTTTCAGTGTAAGTTTTTCTGCATTCAGTGGAGGTGCTGGGGAGCACGGGGCCGAGTTACTGCCTGCAGCTCCCGGCTTCCTTCCCGAGCCGCGGTGCTGCCCCAAGGCTCGTCCGGGCCTGGCGGGGCGGGCAGGCGATGCGCGGGGCTCCCCCATGGCCGCGCGGGGTTCCGGCTCCGCTGCCGCAGCGCCAGCTGGGCCATGGGCGCCCCAGGAGCAGCTCCCGCTGACAAGAGCTGCGTGGTGGGAAGGCAGAGCCCGGGGCCCGTCCGGGCCCTCAGAAAGAAATTCCGTGCCCATTCCGGTGTTCTGGTGCTGGGGCTGCTTCTGCTGCAAGGGAAGAGYTTTGCTGTTTGTTACTGCCTCCTTAGCAAAAAGTCCTTGAGAAAATGCCAGTGAATTTTTAAAGAAGTGCATGGCRGTTCTCATAATCCAGACTGGCTTTAAGCACTATATTTAATTTATTTATCCCTTTGYTTGGAAAAGTGAAAGTGTGGGAGGATAGAAGATTACAAGGTTTGTAGAAGGCCGCAGACTGTGATGCTGAGACCTCCTCGCATGTAAAATAGGAACAGAGTCCATCCTATTTCCATCTTGACCCTTTTTCTTCCAGGTTCGTCCCAGCTTGGTGCTGTGCGGGACACCTCCCTCGAGGAGGGGCCTTCTGCCTCCATGACCCCATTGTCCTTAAGGCGACAGTAGAAATTGTGGCTTTGCGGCGTGGTTGTGACTTGTGCCACAGCACAAAGACTTCCTCTACAGCCGAGTTCTCAGTGCAGGGCTGCTCCAGTAGGAGTTGTGTGCTGATCTGCAGTTTCTGAAGGTGAAGGGAAAGCCTACGCAGAGACAAGCGGCTGCTGTGCAGGGAAGGCTCCCTGGCGCACGATGCAGGAGCCAGTGGTGCGCAGAGATCGGGTGGTCACGGGTGCGCAGAGCCGCGGCGGCGCTGGGGCTGCCGAGGGAGCAAGGCTGCCTGCGCGGGGCCCCACCGGGCCACGTGGTGCCCTCCTGCTCCGCAGCCACTTGCTCATCCCCAGAGGCCTGCGCTGCACGAGAAGCCGCTCACATATCCAGAGAAGGGAAAGACTTAGCAATACCTCTGCTCTGGTAAATGAGGCCTAAAATCATCAGGCTGTTTAATCTCTGGTTTATTAGACCTTTTTCATTTTGAATATGAAACCATGAGTTGTAATTCAAGGTTTACCTGACTTAGGTAGAGAGGACTTACAGCAGGGCTGAACTTGGCCCCCTTTGTTTGACTGATTTTTACAGACTCACATATGAGAACTTGTTAAACTTAGTTCTGGCTTGATGTACCTGCCTAAAATAACACTGAATTTGGACTAGTCTTTCAATACAAGGTCCATAAATATTCCTGCAGAACTTTCTAAAGAAATTGGTATAATGTACCAGTAACAGCTTACGCTGTTTTGTTGTAATAATTCTTGCACTGAAACACAGATGGACAGTGTTCCACCGCCTGCAGCCCAAAACATAACATGAGTGCAGCCTTTTGGAGGAAGGGCGTGATTTTTGTTCAGAAGAGACCAAAACATCTGTTGGGAAGAGTGAGCAAGTGCCACTAGATCACTGTGGGTTTTTTTGGAATGAATGCATTCGAAATTCCATTTAACTGCCTTTTGCTCATATTTATTGCTTGGCTGCGTGGGCGAGCCCCTGCTAAGGGTGCCGTGGAGAGGCAGCTCCCTGTGGTGCCCATGGTGGCCGGTGCCCCCGCGCGCTGCCAGCTCGTCGGCATCGCCGGGCTCGTCCTGAGGCTGCTCCCTGTGGCGTAGCATGCGAGCGCCTCTCGCCCCTACCTGGCTATGGCTCTCAGTGAGGTGGAAGGGGCCGTTAGCCCCTGTCTGTGACGGCCGGGCGCAGGGCAGGCCTCCTTCCCTGCCTCGCAGCCAGCACCAGGTGAGAATCGCCCTGGCTCTGAAAGGGCTTACTATTTGTGCTGCTGCCATCTTCTGCCAGGAAAGAAAATGCGAACATTGAAATGGTTTTAGTTATCCTACTGTCTGTTACAGGCATGCATTCATTAAGGAATTTTCAATTAAAAGCCTGCATATCATTTGGTAAATATTTTAATGTATCAGGATTTATATAAATATTTGCTGTATTGTTACTTTGCTTGTTTTAGATAGGAATGAAAACACAGCTTTCATATCAAGTAAGCATTAGCAGTGTCAGAGCCGGCGAGCTGGAGCGGTTGCTTCATCCGCGCTGTGTGGGTGACAGCTGCGCACCGGTGGCGCGGGTATGGGTGACAGCCGCGTGCCCCGTACTCACCGTTTCTGTCCTCGGTGCAGGTGTGAGCCCGCAGCAGCAGGTAGCAGCCGTGCCGCAGCAGAGCCGCCCGGCGCCGCAGCCCACACTCCTGGGGCTGCCCAGCGCCCTGACCACGCAGCAGCAGCAGCAGCAAAAGCTCAGGCTCCAGAGGATCCAGATGGAGAGAGAGCGCATCCGCATGCGGCAGGAGGAGCTGCTGCGGCAGGTAACGCTCAGCGCGCGTCCTGGGCTGCTTCAGGGGCGTGGGGGCTCCTGGGTACTTGCCAGGTACAATTAGTAACTGCTCCCATTCGCCAAAATTGACCTTGGTTTTGGGGGGGGAACAAGGCTAACAGAGAGTGGAGCCTTCATGCAACAGGCAAGGAGCATTTCCTGCTTTCTCTGACCCAGCCTGAGCAGGGCACGGGCGGCCACATCTCTGCATATTGCCGTCCTCTGAAGCGGTGGTGCCAAAAAACGGATTCAACCGCTGCAGAACTGTCAATTTAAGGACCGATTTGTTCATTGCAGTTGTGTRTAAATCCAGAGAAGTTATCAACGATTAACCCTCAGTCTCCTTGGTTTATGTAATGGGCTGTCTCTGTGCCTCGCGGGGAAGAGCAGAGTCCCCGAGGTTGTTTTTGACTCTGTAACTTGCAGCCATTGCCTTTGAATGCGAATCAAATCATATTCACCTCCTAGTCTCCGAGCTAGGAATTTTCCAGAGGTGGTTTCTTTGTGGCTGCTTGTGTATTGCTCTGTTTCTTAACATCCAGCTCTATATAATGAGTAATATTGTGTGAAGGAGGTGTGTGGCTTTGTTTAAAGCCCTTTTTTTTTTTTTTTTTTTTTTTTTTAACACAGCTGTTAAAAACTGCTCGTTTTTAAGAATTGCAAAGGATGTGATTCCTGTGCTAGGGATGCTGTTTTGCAAGCCTTGTTCACCAGATTCCCAGAGAGCACAACAGTCTGTTCCCCTTAGGAGCAGCGCATGAGCTGCGTTCTCTCTGTCAAGGGTATTCCCATCCTTGCCAGTGGCCTTGTAAATGCTGCACTTGCAGTTCGTCCCACCTTGGAAAGAGGTGACTTTTCCAGTAATTATGTTGTGCAATTAGTATTTCATAGCTGCACCCCTTTTGTCTTTGGAATCATGGCACAATTTGTGGTTATTTCAGGGTAACTTCATTTATACCGTGTTTAGAAGTGAGTGTGACATTTCTTGGCAGCAGGCAGAAGTGCATCTGTCACTGGGCTGATAACACCAATTGGCTGAACTTTTCTGGTGCTTCACTAGAGTACAGCAAGCTGCTGCAGCATTTTGAAATTCCAGGGATTTGTGTGCAATGCAAAAAATATATATAAAAAAAAAATATAAAAACAACCCTGCCAAATCCTCACAGTTAGATGCCTTTAGAGGAAAGTCAGCAGTATGTGTGCTGAGGACAGCAGCTGCTGCTGCTCTTCCTCCTCACTCGGGAGCTGGGGTGGAAAGCAGACAGGGAGACGGACACATGGAAGATGTTGCGGGTGGCAAAGCCAGAGAGACTTAGTGCCCCACAGAGCCTGGAGATCGGAAAGAGGGATCTGGGTGAGCAGAGCAGGTTTCTCAAAAGGGAGATGTGCCTGTGGAGATTTAATAGGTTTCTTTTATAAGCAGTCCTGAAAGTCTCACRTTGATGGAAAGATTTTTGATTTTCTCTCTGCAGCTTTTCATTATTGGTTTTGCTAAACGTGTTGCTTGCCAAGTTAAATRGTTATTAGGATGGTTTTAAAAGTGCTTTCTTTTTATCCTATGAAGAAAATGCAGTTTGGAGTAGGTTTAATATAGACTTTCGGCTAATATAGGCAATCAGCCAATATAGACTTTAACAAGAACATAATTAAACTTTTATTCTCATGTATAAACTTTATATAAGTCAAGTAACTCCCCAGTTACACCAGTAGAACCGTAGTAAGTCAATCTTGTTCTGATAGAAAGACCAAATTCAAGATGAATGTGGATACTATCACGTAGTGGGGTTTTGGAAAACAGAGAATCGATGGGAAAATGAAAATGGATGTCTGCAAAGAGTAGAGTTCCTAAAAATATTACATTAGAGTAGTTCTAAAAAAGACTTTCCAGTAATAATTTGCATCATTTGTATTTTTTTGCTCTTTAATCTCTTTCCACTAAGTATATGTATAAGAACTTTGACGACGTTTAATTAACAAGATTAATTAACAGAAATTCACTATCATTTGAAGCGGTTCAGCAGCACATAGCAGCATGTGAAACAAGCACCAAACCGCAGCGTGTTCCTGCTTCTGCGGGGCCCTCCCTGGCCACGTGTCCCAGGCTGTCCCTGCAGAGCCCCGCGGGGCTCGTGGCGCCTGCAACAGGAGCTGCGCTCAGAGCCCTTGCAGCCAGGCCGCCCGGTCCGCTCCGCGTCCCCTTCCCTGTTTAGCTCTGGAGTTCCAGAAGAGAAAGCTGTTTGGGCAGCAAGGACTTTTTCACCATTCTGGATGGCTGAATTTATTTCTTACAGATTTGTTTGTCAGCTTTCTAAAGGGAAAGGGGGACCTACTGCCCAGGAGCCCCCGTGGAAAATGAAGCAGCAAGAGGTGCTGCCAGTGAGCAAGCCCGAGCGGGCTGTGGGAGCAGGTGTCCCACCTGCTCCGTGTCACGGGCACGGACGTGCATGGCCGGCTGGGGAAAGGCAGCGCTTTGCAGGGGGTTCTGCTCCCCAGCCACATGCACTAAATACATCTGCGAGCGTTGGAAAGATGAGGGGCTCAAAAGAGGCCATGGACGAGCGGGGTGTGGGGATTCGGAGATGCCAAGGACTGTCTGTTGGCCAGCAGCCCTGCTTTTGAGCAGTACCTTAGCGCAGACTGCATTGGTGCCATCTGCGAGGCTGCAAGAGATCTCTGGTACTTTTTGACACAGCGCTTAAAGCTAGAGAGGCCACTCAAGAATATGATTCTTCAGGTTGATCATCATTAGCTTGCGGAAGCACTTAAAAGGAGGGGAGGACACAACAAGATGTCACGACGCTGACTGCGGTTGATGTGTAGTGCTGGCCCTCACAGTAATCCTGCTGGAGGAGCAGAGATGTCCAACAGTGGCAGCCCTGAAGGAGCAGGCCGGGCTCTTTGCTGAYGCCCGCGCTTTTTTTGCTTCCCAGCCCAATTTTGACTCCAAGCTGCAGGATTACAGTGCTCCAGCACGTAAAGTTTGTCATCCTGGGGCGGATGGCAGACTCCTAGAGGGTGCTGGTTAGCAGCCACCTCTGCGAGCACAAATGCCGCATCCAGGTACCAGTAGTCAAGGAGAGGGTGAATCTCTGCATCTCAAAGCAGTCAGCAGTTGGCACCATGTTTTCTGAAGAGATGAATATCTGAATTCCTGATTGCATCAGGTCAGCTGCCCAGCAAGGAGCAGCCAGGAAGCAGAAAGGGCTCCAAATAACATGTGAAATTTGCAGCTGTTTGTGTGGGAGCAGAGCAGTGCAGGGCACTGGCAAGAATGGTCGTTTTGTCAGCACTTTCCTGTCTGTGGGAAGGCCGCTCAGTGGGAAAGCTTGAGGACTGAGGAAGCCCGTGCCAGGACCAGGCTGTTGGTCCTGGTAGCCACAAGGTAAGTAGCTGATGCACAGGGGTGACATTGTCTCTGAGCCGTCAGAACTGTTGGGTTAGTCTAGTGCAAGCTGCGAGTCAGAGTCGTGTAAGGAGGGGCAGGGAGCTGCCGAAGTTGCGGGTGTTTTATTTCCTTGGGGACCCCGGCGCGTGAGCGGCTCCGCTCGCTCCATGGTGCCCCTGTTCTCCTAGCAGCGACACACAGTGCTGCACAGCACGCGCAGAGCTGCACGACATGCGCTTCACACGCCCGCAAGCTTGGAGAAAAACGTATTTCATTTTGATTTTGGTTTTGTTTTTTTTCTGTCCCAATCTCATCTTTATTATTGTGGAACATTCTTCAGTGAATTAATGTTAAAATGCAACACCAAAGTATCAAAAACATGAACTTCATTGCAGAACTGAATGCTAAAAAAAAACCCTAGCAAAGTATGTCTTGCCTCATTTTGTCTATATTCCTTTTTATTCTGTCTTCATTTCTGTCTTTCTAGTATCAGCCTTATTTGAGTTACTGCTGTTGCTTCTTACATTTGAAAAAAAAACCAAAAACACAAAACTACATTAACTTGATGTGGACAGTTAAAACCGCCCATTTTCTGAGATTTGTTCATTTTCACAGATTCTAGATGTTTTAATTTTAAATAGAAACAAAATGATTAGTTATTTGACAAATGTAATGATATACATAAACTATCAGTTAAAAATCTTCAGTCTGTTTATTCTTAAAATTATTGAAAACACATCATTTAATGTAAATTATTTATCAGTGAATATGTTAAATTGATAGCTGGATTATAAATAAAGCATTGCATGAATGTGCACCAATATATGTTAAGCACCGGTGAGTAATTTTTCGTGAAAAGACCAGAGGGGTGCTCTTCATGGAAGAAATAAATTGCAAACATAGTAAAATATCAAAACCTAGCCAAGAAAATATGTTCATCTTTTCTGTATTGGGGACTGTGAGGAGCAGATTTCATGGAGAAAGATTTTCTGTGAGGTTTTCAGTAAACTGTTTCCTTTATTCATTTCCTACAAAATAAATCGTGATAATTGGGCAGAGCAAACTCGGGAAAATACAGATGCAGCTTTCCTGGTGCCGGGGGTTTGGAGCCTTGTCCGGAGCACCCCAGGGACCCCTCCTTTGTGGCGCKGGTGGTTTGGTTTTGTGGGGCTTCACTGTGCGCACTGCGGGGCACGGGCGCCCGCTCGAGGACCACTGTCCTGCCTGCACCAGCCACCCCTGCCCTTCTTCACATGCATGTGAACAGTCGTCAGCTGCACTGCTCACAGTTACCTCCTGAGGATGCACAGACCAAACGGGGCCGCTTTTTATGAGACAAGGATTTGTGAATGGCTGCAACAGCTTTTGCCTTGTTATTTACCCACCCTTCAGGAGGCCGCATTGTGCAGACAGCTTCCCATGGACCCAGAAAGCATGGCCCCAGTTCAGACTGCTGTGAACACACCTGCAATGACGCAAGATCTGCGGCCTGTTACAAATAACGGATCGGATCCTTTCCTGAACAGGCAAGTTCGTGGCCCCCCCCAGGTGCTTGGTCCTATTGCCCGGTCTGTACTTCTGAAGCTGTCTCTTCTAAGCAGATCCCTGCTTTGCAGTTACTGTGAACAGGGGATACAGCCTCGTGGCTGACCTGACATTTTTCAGTTTATACTTCAAGAAGGAAACTCAAAAAGAAACCAAACAAATGATAACAAATTTTTACATAMACGTATGCAGAGGATTTGGTGCACATTGCCTTGGTATACTCAATTCTAACTCAATTATCTCAATTAGTTTTAGGCAATCAAAACAGTGGTTGTCAGGAGATTTATATGTATGTGTGTGTGTTGCACCACATTAGTGTCTCAGCAGTTGAGAAGTCTGACCTATTGCTCTGTCTCGTCAAACACCGTGATGAGAGACTCTCTAACCCAACTTCTTCACTGTGACTTTTTCATGTTTCACTTTACAGTGGCCCATACCACTCCAGGGAGCAGAGCACGGACAGCGGCCTAGGACTGGGATGCTACAGTATACCAACCACACCGGAGGATTTCCTCAGCAATGTAGATGAGATGGATACAGGTATCTCATAGAGCTTAAAGTAGTATAAAAATAACTTCTTGTTAGGACCAACAGTGTTTCATAATTGTGTAACTGAGCAATAAGCTCTCAGTTTGTGATGCAAGAAAACAGACTGTGACTGTGGAGGAAAAGGCCTCAAAGACTTTTAGTGCCTACAGTGTACCAAAATCTATGCTCTTACCTTAGATTATGATAATATAGCAAATGGGTACAAGTTGGAAAACCCAAGCTTTAATTCATGTTTTAATATTATAGTCCAAGGTAGGACAAGAAAAAACTAGTCTTGAGTTATTAAAATTATTAAAATTTCAGGACAAATCACTGCATCTCTTTCATTGGAAAAGCTGGATGGCCTTCAAATAGCATTTGTTCAGTTATTTAGGTTTTAGTATGTTCAGGTTTTTTTTTAACAATGTCCTCATAATGCTTAAAATATTGAAATGAATGACTAGGAAATCAACTGTTTTTTTTCCTAAAGAGTGAAATTCTCCAGTGCTTCCTCACCTAAACTTCCTTTTGAAGTCATCGAGAGTTGTGGATGGTGCAGAGTGTGAGAGCGGTGGAGAGATTTCCTGTAAAGTTCTTGTCTTGGTGACGTGCCTTGGATTGAGTTCACCCCTGTGCAGAGAGCAGGAGGTTCCTACAGGGCTGATCTGCATCGCCGCCTTTGCACACGGGTGAACTTTGAGCACTCGCGCCGAGCAGGAGCTCCGAGGCCCAACCTGAACACTGATGGAAAGGGCTTTGTTTTTCAGGGTGAACCAAGGGTATATAATTAACTCCTGCAAGAATATGCTTTGTGCAAGCAAATATGGTTCTGAGCTAACATTTGTAGAGGATACAAACCCTACAAGTGCTCATGGGAAAGAAGGATTTTTTTTTTAATCGACTGTATTGTTTTAAATTACTTATGAGAAGGGATCAGTATTTCAAATACTCTTCTTTACTTTTCCTAGGAGAAACTGTAGCACAGACGACAATGAACATAAATCCACAACAGACACGTTTCCCTGATTTCCTCGACTGTCTTCCAGGAACAAATGTTGATCTTGGGACTTTAGAGTCAGAAGACTTGATCCCTATCCTCAATGATGTGGAGTCAGTACTCAACAAAAACGAGCCCTTCCTCACTTGGCTGTAACCATCCATTACTTAATGCCAATTCAGCCCATAATGCAATTCAGCATTTTCTTTTCCTCCTGAAATAGAGGTAGAGTATCTGAAAATCCTCAGAGGTGCAACTTGCTGCCTTAATGACTTCTGTTACATCATCTTTATGGTCAGTTTATTCTCTGCCTGGATTTGGCTGACAGTAACTTAAATATAAAAATACCTATAAGTACCTACTTCTCATTAAAAAACAAAAACAAACAAAAAACTTATACATCTGTTTTTTGTTTGTTTGTTTTTTCTTTTCCTTTACAGATCAGGCAGAAGTGTTTCACTTTCTGGACAGAAAGTGGGCTGTGTGTGCACGTCTATGTCTGTTCTAAGGGTTACTGGGCAACAACACAAACTCTTAATGAATCACACAAGTAACTGCTAGGTCACTTGGTTGAAAAACCTGCACAGCATCCGACCATGAGAGCAATTTTATCACTATACTTACAACAATAATAGAGAAGCTATTATATTGATTTCCTTAAGCTTTAAAAATCTTTTCATTATTAGTAGAGCTGTGCTGTATGGAATGTAGATTAAATCTGATCCATATCAGCTATAATTATTCTCATTATACATTTGTAAAGGCACAAGCAGTACTCTTGCAATTTCTTTTTCAGTATATTACTGTATAGTTTCCAGATAATAAATACTTCCAATTTGAAAGTAGCAGAAATGCTTAGTAAGTTTTACACTACTATATTCTTGTAAAATAAACCAGACTGGTACTAACTACTGCCTTAAAAAAAAAAGTCAATAGAACAAACAATTTTAATGGATCTTAGATTTTGATGTTTATTATATTAAGCACTACAATTTTGTAATTTAACACATGAACAAATAGTTTTTATATAAGCCTGTGGCAAATATCTTAAATTCAAAAATATGCTTTTAAATTCAGGACAGAAAAATGTGGCACAACTTAGTAGTATCATATGAAGTGGGAAAAAAAATATTGCTCGATGTTTTCAGCAGTAATGTTTTTAACTGACAGTGTTAAACTTCACACGTAAGTGTATACAAGAAGAAAGCTCGTCACTTTATCAGAGCAGTGTAAGCAGAGTTGTCACTTGCCTGGTAAAGTTGCGCAGTTCTTAACTCTTCCGCTTACTGCAGGTGCTGCAGAGGGCACAAGGCATGTTCTTGTATTCCTACACACTGTATGTCCTTTAAAGGCTTCTTTTATCAGGTGTTTAGGACTGAGACGGCATCAAGGACATGACACATACAGTTCCCCAGAAATGCAAATGAAGTCCTGAAATTCTTAAATATTTTATAGTATTTATAGTCTATGAATTTAAGCTTTTTATATTGAAAATGTGCCTTTTTATGAAAGGCATTAAAACACTTCTCTGAGCTTGATCCAGGCTATGTGGAGAAAGCAAGAGCTGTAGCACTCAGTGTAAACGTGTTTGTCAGGTCTAATAAAAGTAATGAGATCTTACCAGTGCTCCAGAGAACTGATCAATAAGGATTTTTTTTTCCATCTAGTTGGAGGAGTGTAGGTGAAAAGGTCAGAGATGAAGTGATGGGAATATGGAGTAGATTTGGAATGATTATGTCACAACTGTAGATCCTTAGCAGGAAAGGTGGCCGCAGACAGGGATACAGAGAAAGCAAAATCAGCAGTGATCAGTAGAAAATACGACAGAATTTAATACAAAAGAAATAACATGTAAAAGATGAACTGCTGGGTCCACCAAAAAGCTAAAATGAAAGCTAAAATATGCACACCAAACACTTCAAAAAGAGAGGGAAGGCAAAGACCTAGAGCAAGAAAGTTTTATCAGAAGAGTGTTGCATTGAAGAGTAGCTTTTTCATGTGTCTTTTTTTAATATAAAATGGGATGTGACAGCAGAGTTGTCTGCACACAATCTAAATACTGAATGGGCATTGTTTTTCTTTTACTTTTTTTGAGGGGGTGGGGAGAATATGTTTTATTATTTTATTTTTGCTAGAGCTAACCATTGAGATAGCAGAACATTATTTTTAAAAAAAGGGACCGAGCAGGCCTGACCAGTGTTACTATAATTGTGGTCAATCTCTCTATTTTAAAGATTGCTTGAGGTTGTAACCCAAAATGAAAAACAAGTGGGCCTGAGGTTTTCTTCAGTGACGTGACTGGCAGAATTTGGGATAAAGAATTGGACATTTGAGGCATCTGATTGTGATGCTTTAAACTTGCAAGGCCAGCTCTTTCAGCACTGCATTTTTGGCCTAGCAAAGTGAAAGCTATTGGTGCTAGAATGATTTACAATAGCTATGGATCTGAGCCTGGCATGTTCAGCTGCTATCACACATCATTAGATAAAGTTTGGAAAATGCAGTTTGTGCATTTGCTAGTAAAACAGTACTTTCGTAAACAAGTTTTTTCACAATAAAACATACTCTAAGTAGATCAGGTTCTCAGCTGCCTGTGGACGAGCTAACATAGAATCATAATGGTTGGAAAAGACCTTCAAGATCATGGAGTGCAGCTGTAAGCCCTTCTGCACCACCCGGCTAAACCATGTCCCTAAATGCCTCATCTACGCCACTGCTGGGGATGGTGACTCCCCCATGTCCCTGGGCAGCTTGTTCCAATGCTTGACTGTTCTCTCCATGTAGAAATTCTTCCTGTTGTCTACACTGAACCTCCCGTGGTGCAACTTGAGGCCATTTCCTCTTGTCCTACCTGTAATCACTGTGGGGAAGAGCTCAGCCCCGTCTCACTGCAACCTCCTTCCAGACAGTTGTAGAGAGCAGTAGGGCCCCCCCCACAGCCCCTCCTCTCCTCCACACTAAATAACCCCGGCTCCCTCACTGCTCCTCCTGAGGGCTATCGACTTCTGTTTGGCTACACTGATTTTTGTCAGCCAGGGGCCTGACTCCATGTTTTTAGCACTTACAGTGAAAGCTGATGCAATTTTCTAGTGAAATCACACGTAAAAAGAGGTTTATTAGAATTATTATGAAATAGGAGACGTGATTCTCCTTTCATTGTTGTTTCAGGAGGTTAGGAGTTCAAAGATCTGAAGAAGGTAAATTTGAAACTGTTTTCTTATTACTTTGATAAAGGAACAGCAGTAGAGTGGAGCAGGAAGGTGCTGTATGAAACACGACTTCCAGTGTAAAGCAACTGCCAAAATCTTAGGTCAGACCTTTACTCAATTCTGAGCCAAATCACAGCTAAGCTAAAAGCAATTCTTAATACAATAAGCTTTTCGTTCTGGAATGGAGAGCATACATCAGATAAAGTGAAGCAGCAACAAAATCTGCTTGTAAGAGTCTTTTTTAAGTTTCTGATTTTAAATAGGCTTATGGCAGAACTTCAAGTATTCAAAGCATATATGATTCTTTTGAAACTAAATTTATTGATGACAATATCTCACTCTATTAGTTCAGGTTGTGCAATAACATTGATTTTACTGAATGTACACTGTATACATTTAGTATAAATACAATAAATATGCCAGCTGCACAGTTGTACTGTTGACTGTCACTGAGAACGGCAGATATAAATACTAGTGATACAAACGTAATGGAATGTTGCTCTTTACAACTTGTATTCTGGTAAAACTATTAGAATGTAACTTAGGGAACGACTCGGTTTGACTTTTTTGAAAAGAAAGCCACTCGGGGGGAGATTTAAATTGTCTGTTTCAAATACAAGAAAATATGGGTGTTCCAACCAACTTTTTTTCCTAATATACTACATCGATGTATGTGCTAGTACTTTAACTTTTTTATTTACGTTTTCATTTTGTTATATGTGTGAGCATTTGTTTTTAATTTAGAATACTTTGCATACAGATTGTATGCATTAAAAGCAATCAGATCAAACTGTTGTATCCAGGGTTTGATTCTGTTTTTTATTTCTTTGATCTTGTATGTGAAAAATAAATATAAATGAATTTAAAGCTATTGTATGCATATTGACTTATTAAATTATTTCTATTTTTTCTTTGGAGGTTTTTAGTATATGCTTTTCTGGGAACTGTATAATGGTGCTTGTACTAAAGATAAGGACTTTTCTACTGCAAAGAAATTTTAAGTTAACTTACTGTCACAACTTTGTACTTTGTTTTACAGTTATGTTTCAGTTTAGTAGCAGCTGCCATGGACATTGACAATTATTGCAGTTTTACTCCCATTATTACAGTTTTACTCATGACACTTCTGAGTGCTTGCGAGAGACACCATTAGTTATTTCCTTGAGCACTTATTTGTAATTCATTAATACTTTTTTTTCCTTGAAATTTAATAAAATGGTGTCCAAGCAGAAGATTTAGCACCCAGACTGCTTGCCTCATACCTCCTTATCTTCTGTTTGGGGACCCAGCGCCCTGCTGTCAGACTGATCCTTTGTACAAGAAGTTTGTCTCAATTTCTTTGTTGAGAAAATACTGTCTGCCTTTCTAGGAAGAAGCCAAAACATTTAAGTGTTCTGCGCTTTAATTTGATTATCTAGTTTCTACTGTCACGATACGTTAGAACCAATTCTGAGGATATTTTAAAATTGTACCTGTGGGCAGCCAGTGTTCTTGCACTCCAGTAAAGGATAATGCAGTGAACCAACTGCTCCTGAGTTCTGGATAATGTTTTCAAAGGCTACTACAGAAACAACTCTGAAGGGTAGGTGAAAAGCTTCATCTATGAATTCATGACTGATCTGAAACAAACAAAAAAACTCGTAAGAATAAAAGGATGGGCTTAAAAAAAAAAAAAGTAATATCAGGCTCTTCAGTGCTCTGAAAAAAAATAGATGAGGAATTGTCAAGTTTGCAGTTGTTACAAAGTTATTCAGTATAATCTAGGCTAAATCTTATTGCAAAGACTTCTGGAAACAATCTGTAATGTGCATAAAAATCTGAAGGCAGGCATAATACTGTGCTCAAATATCTAATGTTGCTTAGGTAATAAATGTCAGATTAGTTTTCTGATCAGAAAAACTAAAAACAGCAAAGAAGTAAAAAATGTATAAATTATGTGAAATAGCAAATACGCTTATGTCCCCTGTATAAATTCATAAAACCAACTTAAATAGTCCTTGCAGTTGCACATCCTCCAGCACAGGAATATGACAGTAGAAATCAGACATGTGAGTGCCCAGTGTGTG